CCCAGGTGCACATTTCGCCGCCCATTATTGGTGTGGCGGCGCGTGCCGGGCAGCATACGATCCTCTACTGGGCGTCTTGCCTAGGGCCTTGCCCAAGCTTCGTTGGTCGCCCTCTGACCTCTGTACGCTTGTTATTGTGTAGAGAGACCGCCATTCAACGACCAATGGCCGCAACAAACACGGCGAAGGCATTCGTTCTTACGCGAAGGCATTCAGAAGGGGGGAAGCGGCAAACATGAAAGTACCATCATTGTACGTCTGTCGGGCCACGCAACTCGGTTATCATCGCTTGCTTCCAGCACGGAAACAAAAGTCGCAGCCGGGGCGTGAGCAGTAAGGGGGGAAGGGCATGCACACACCCGTTTGACGGGAACGTTTTGTTGCACCCCATGCGGATTTTTTGTTTCAAGACTCTAACAGACGATGTACCTGGTCCCTGTGAGCAGAACAGGTACTACTGCTGTGTACGTAGACTCCAGACAGCAAACAACAACCAGTGTTGAATCTTGTTCCCACGAGCCTTGTCCCTCCGACCAGCCCCCCCGGACATCACTCCTACCCATGACGACACCCCATCCCGTCCACAACCTCGCACCTGGCACCTGCCCCTTTTATACCCTCTCTGTGCCCATCCATCTCTCTCCCATCAGCAACTCTCTCTGTCTCTCGCTCTCATCATCATCCGCGTCTCTCCTGTATACCGTATATGACACAAGATAACACACCCCCTTGGCCGATTTTCAAAGCTCGATTTCTCAACAGCAGGAAGAGTCACAGCGCCGAAAACGGCGGCGTTGGAACCGTCTCGTCGAGAGCTGTTCGAAAACGTATTGTTTCATTTATGCATCCTCTTCGTCGTGGAGTAATCGAGCTTTGAAAATCGGTCCAGGGGGTGTGTTATCTTGTGTCATATACGGTATTCTAGGAGTATACTGATTGAGATGTAGTCTACATACGGAACTCTGTCCTCACCAACGTGGTCCTCTGTCCTCGGGCGAATGCCAGATAGATGCGTGCTCCCACTATCCTCTGCGGTCCTTCCACTCTACGTATGTGTTGCGTCGTTGTTGCTCCCCCGCTGTGCCTGTGCCCGTGACTGCTGCTCTTTCCCTACTAAATATCCAGCAGCAGGATAGGAAATCAATCTATAAAAAGGTATGCGGGTTGCTTATGCAAGAGTTAGACTACACCTTCCATGTGCGGGGCGGAGGCGAAACGGGGAAACGGAAATAAAGTCGAAAATGTGAATCTTTCACCCGCAGCCATTCCTCTCCCGACTCCCGACGAAACTGCTGTCATACTTCTAGGAATAGTAAAAAAAACTATCAACTCGATATTTACCCATCCAACCATTGTTGTTCATACGGGACTGTCGTGTTGGTGAAATGCCAAGCCGATCAAATAACAAACAGTAGTATTCCTTCGTGCCCAAATCACTCTTTACAGCAGCAGCATCTCCACTCACTGAAAGGACTCCACCACATCCCGTTCGACAGCGGGTATATCTCGAATGGGTAGTCTTTCTGTGTGTGCATTTATTATTCCTTAAATCTATGCATAGACTACACCTTCCACTCTCGCCCATCCCGACAGGATAGGCTCTGTCAAGAAAGCGAACCCCACGAACGACTAACTTTTATAAATAGTAGAAGCCGAAATCAACCACGTCTAATGGTTTGATTTCGACTTGGTTTGATTTCGGCTTCTATAGGCTACACGAGACTAATTAACTACAGCAGCAGTAGTAGGTGGTGTCGCGTCGATGACAGCGCGGCAGGGAGTGACGACGACAGAAATCGCCACAATTGGAGAGAAAGAACAGCGGTAGTAGCAGCAGAACAGCAAAAGCAGCCAGCCGCAGCGATATCGTTCGGACGCGTTGTTGGCACCGTTCGTTGCTGGTCGTATGATTTTGATGTCGAAAAACTGACGACAGACTTGGTGCATACTTCAATGTACATGTAGACATACAGTAGAGATAAGTACAAAAATGCAGACTTCGTATGGATCTCAGATCGAAAACGGCGTCGTCGGCGTGTGGCCAACAACGCCATTCCCATCCGCGGCTGGACTTGAAGACAACCGAACGAACGAAACAGACCGCCTGTCTTTGGCCGTCGAATGATCCACCGCAGCAACCGCGGCCGAACTTGTACCAGACTCGCGGACATCATCGCCATCTTCACGAGAACAACCCTCCCGCCCACAGATACTACTGCAAGCAATTGAACGGTCTACAGCATTAGTAATAGTTAGCTTGTGACCACGGAAGGCGTCCACGTCAGTTGGACAGGTACGGACATTAGAAGGTACTGGCGGAGTCAAATAGTGTCGAACACTGGTACCCTGGGGGGCGCAGACAACAGATAGATGGGGCGCGCACCCGAGAGCTGACAGTCAATGCCCGTGTCTCCCACACCTTCTGCAGTTAGGCTAAACCGCCCATGGGGCACCCATGGGCGGCCCATGGACCATCAATGAGTGGCCTTCAACCGGAACCTCCTAAACAATAGGTTATCTGCTGTGGAACGGGCATTAGTCGTAACAGCTGAAACCTTAACGCTATTCCTAACCCTAGCCCAAGCCCACACGTAAGTGCTGAATGTTGGCGCAATCTCCCACACTACCGGCACTCTGGCCAAACCGTCCATGGGGCACCCATGGGACACCCATGGGCAGCTTATGGGCAGCTAATGGGCCTCCCATGGGTCTCCCATGGGCCTCCCACGGGCACATCATGGACTGCCCATGAGCTGCCCATGGGCCCACCCATGGGCAGTCCATGAAATGCCCACGAATTGCCCATAACCTAGAACTTCGGCACTTCAACCTAGAACTTCGGCACCGGCATATCAACCTAGAACTTAGCCACCGGCACATCAAACTAGAACTTCGCCACCCAGCGCCAACCTAGCACGTATCGTGTGGGCTCGGGGTCAGGGTCAGGGTTAGCGGTAGGGTTGTGAGCCGCTATAATGCACGTTCCAAAGCAGAGAATCTATTATTGTTTGGGAGTGAGTACCGTTGGAAGGACACCCATGAACCAGCGTTGGAAAGAAATATTTCAATCCCAAACTAGGAAGAGCGCAACGAACACAAGCGAGCCTATGCATGCTCGATGCTTTCAAAACCGATACGCCGGAATCTCTACCCAAAATACGCAGCGGACACGGCCCTAACTATGTAGACTAGTCTAACCCAAGAGAAAGAGCCGAAAATACTCCGACATTCTGACAAGCCCCGCCGTTCGAGCGATATTAACGCAACAAAAAGCCCCGAAAAGATCCCAAGAATACTCGCAATTCAACCGTCCACTCACGTTCATCCATTGCTTCCACCAAAAGTCGTACCAAGCACCCACCCCCCTCCGTTGTGTCAACGTCAATACCGTAGACCCTCGCACCGACAAATGTTTTCACCCGTATTAATGTTTGCGACAGACGTCCCGCATAAACACGCCGAAGCGATTTTGGACGTGTCGTGTTCAGATCGTCTCCTCGTGCGACACATCCAAACTTGGTACACACACAACGAGGTCGAGGAGACCCGTAGATGTAACCACGATAGTCGAGTTGTAGGTCTCGTATTCCTCCGTATGTTAGCGCACTCCGCTACAATCGTACGGTCAACATATTTCTCTTCTGTGTCAAATCCCCTGTTATCTTGTGACTGTGCATGTGCCAAACACATTTTCTCGACCAAAACCCCCCTTCCCGCTCGTCTGTCCATCCTTCATCTACCTAATAGCACACAGCACGCAGTCTGGTGCCGATTACGCCCTGCACGCGCAGTCCACCGACTGCACCTACGCCTTCTCAGTGAACGCCGACGAATCGTGTGGCGTTTTGCTATGCCGCCACCTTCTACCGCTACACGAGAGTGAGAGCACTCCCATCGCCACTCCCAGTCCCGCTCGAGATGAAGAGCACCCTTCTCCATTCCCCACTCCTAGCCTGTCAACTACGGTAGACGGACCATCTGGCCCTATTTCACAGGGGTGCTACGAGGACAACGGCGATTCCCAGTATCACGGACGACTTGACTTCGGTCTTTGCGACAGCTCCATGACAACCGAGGGGACTTAAGTGATCTTGTTTTGAAATATTGCGTGTTCTTCACCTGGTGGGTGGCGTAAATGTCGTATGTGGACCCTTTGTTTTCCCCGCTCCTATCGACTCTTTGTGGTTGGTAGGAGTGGGCAACAAAGGGAGGCACGCCAATATTTGAGCCGCGATCAACAAACCGAAACATGTTTCTGAGGCATTTCCTCACCGTGGCATGCTTGGGAGGGGTTTCCTCAATAAGATCCCCCATCATTCGGTCAACGTGTCGGGTCTCCAGTTCCAGCAAAATATTATCGGTACTACACAGTGTAAATACACCATCGACCGATCCTGTCGGCTACTAGGGTATGTTTCATGTAAGCTTCACACCCATCCTGTCGACTGGTAGACTGCCGTGTTGCCGGCCACTTGTCAACCTGAGCACCAACAGTCGTTCTGCATCTACGGCTTTTTCATATACACACTGAGACAAACGTCTCTTCATTGGTCAGCCGGCTAGCCCCGTCGATGCTAATAATACACCCACACACTGACGTCTTTTCATTGGCCAACCGGTTTGCGCGGTCGATGCTAGTAGTAATAATACACACACACACACATACATGGGCCCCCCAAAGCGCCCGTGTCGTTAGGACATGGACGGTAACGTGTGGCGAACCATATCGTGGCGTTGGGTGGCGGCGATGAATGCAATAGGTGCCCAAGGCGAGAGTTGTCTCCCATCCAATTCTCCTGCAGGAACGTTCCAAATTGTCTTTTTTCAACACTTGACACGAGTCTTCCAAACCTATCCGAGTCCTGTTAAGTCGACAATATCCGACCATTCCAAACAGAATTCCCCGTTGTCTTTTCATTCGGTGAAATAATACGCGTCCGTGTGTGCTTCCCCTGCCTTTTCTCCCTGCCGGCTTCGTCGGATCAGCTGAGCGAGCAAACATGTCTATTCAGCACCTACTTCGCCACACGGTTGTACGATCGAGAGGTGAGTTCAGGTATTATAGTAGATGGTAGTGGCCTTTACGACCATGCTCTTGTTGTCTAACCGAATTGCAAACCCTTCCACCACGGGTTTTTTTTTGTTGCGGACCTTCCCGTGCAGTGGTGGTGCGTTCGGTAGGATATCTTTGTGATCACGGTAGGAACAGCATCGTCGAAGGTTGCGTAAGATATCAAACCCCCTGGACCGATATTCAAAGCTTAACAACTCCACGACGAAGAGGATGCCGAAAACGAAGTATTGGTTTTCGGAAGGCTCTCGACGAGACGGTTCCAACGTCGCCACTTTCGGCACGATCACTGCTTTTCCTGCCGAGATATCGAGCTTCGAAAATTGGTCCAGGGGGTGTCATTTCATATGCAACCTACGGTAGTCGTCTTGCCTGTTCAATGAGGACGGTACAAATAAGTGCTGCGTATTTCGATCGAGGTGAGAATCGTTCGTCATTGGCTTCGGTTGATGAACAAGGTCCTACCGAACACATTCAATCTTGGAAACCCCTAACCTACATACAAGGTTCCGAACCTCTTTGCCCATCGGACTGCTGGTATGGCCGAGGTTTCCTCGCCTTGACGAATGCCCACGTCCTGTCTGTCTGTCTGTCTGTCTGTCTGTCTGTCTGTCTGTCTGTCTGTCTGTCTGTCTGTGTTGTCTCTGCCGACAACCAACAGCACGCATTGCCGGTACGAGTCTTCTGGTGGAGATCACGTTCTGCACGAGGAGTTCACCGACTGCATCTACGCCAGCTCCGCGGACGCTGACGAAACGTGCGGCGGGTACTACGCCGCCACCGTCTATTGTTACTCGGGCGAGAACGCCCGGACAGCGGCGTCGTCCTTCGTGGGGTACTACCATGACGAGCGGGACGCCTGCATCATGGAATTCACGCTGACCAATAGATATTCCATGACCAAGGAGGTGCGAGGGAGCACTTGGCTGTTCTTCTTGCCGATCGAATTGGTTGGGTTGAAATTCCGTTCGACGCGGTAAATCCTTCTCGTGTGTCCAACACTGATATGAAGTGTTCACCTACAGGGTAAACTCTACATGTTTCGAACGGGTTTTATTCGGGGGTCAGCAAGTGAGAGGTTCCTTCTCGATATATCGAAATCAAACTTTCTCCTCCTCTCGCCCTCTTGTGATGTCGTCTGTCCTGGTCGATTCTGCATATGTGCGAGTCGGAGCGCACCGGAAGCATACACTTCGGGCTGCAGTACGGGAGGGAGGTGAGAGGCGGTTCCTTGTGACACAACAACACCAAAAATCGTCAAGTTCTATGTACGCCCCTCCCCCACATTGCATTTCTCGTTTTTCATCTGGACGAAGGTTTGGTCATGCTCGGTTGAGGCAACGAAGGCAAGCCTAGCGTTAGTACCCTGTGTCCTTACCCACAAACCGTAGCCTTGTCAAGCGTACGATTGAGATAAATACTGAAACGCTGGTGACCATTGATGCAGACGTCCGGTTTTCGCCGGCCGCGGTCCCCATGTCCCCCCACCCCCCCACCGTTGATGCCGATCCCCAATACTAGAAACAGCTCAAACGGTTTTAACAATACAAGAACCATCGGCGCTGGAGATGGCATAACCAAACAACAGTTGAAGTGTACCCATCAGCACTTTTCCTTGTAACGCTCTCTCGTCGTTCCGGTCGGACCTGAATCCACACAGTTCTTCTGCGGTAGGAACTCGAGCTACCCCCTTGAGGAGAGTCAAGCGCCTGCAACTACGAGCAATAGGGGGACTCAGGTCAAGTATGCGGGGTATTCGACACTCTAAGCTTGTACTCCTACTGGTAGTATCTTCGTAACAAGTGTTTCGTTCGTGCGTTGTGCAGTCGTGCCTTGGTGTTGTTATTGTGGTATAGCTCCACTCGCGGCAGCGGTTTGCACGGACACCATCCGTGAGGAGATATTGGAGATGGCACACCAAGTCGTGGAAACACAAAGTTCCCGATCACATCGTTTGTAAATGCCATGGAACGCCGTGGAACATTCCTTGGGATGTTTGGGAACGATGGAATCTCAACACTTTTCATATGGCGCGGGGCGCGGATGGGGCTTGTAGGTTTGTATAATACACGGTTTTTTACGGAGTGAACAGTTCACTCTATCGTTGTCTCGGAGACTATACACGAGATAGCTTGATCGAGCTAATTGAATGAAACCTTGAATGAAACCTTGAATCAAGTCGACATGCCGCGGTGTGTGCCAAACAGGCACGTACGTGCGGAGCATTGTGACCAACAACGTCTACCGTGTGAAGAGGAAGTCTCACACAGACACGTTGTACGTGCAGTAGTTGGGATTATTGAGCGAACATTAGTAAAGCTAAAGAGAGACCGTATGTACATGCCGAGTGACCGTGGTGTTCTGTGCCGTTGTGGAGAGCGGTTAGCGTCACAGGGGGGAGTCGCCCATCCGGCATATCGGCAGAAGCACGCACGAGCCATCGAATTTGACATAGCCCAAAAGATTGGACTATATCTGCAATCTTCTTTGTAATGCGTGATGATGATTCACCCACGCACTCATGCGGACGTTTTTCTGATATATATGTATTGACGATCCCAGATGGAGAGATACGGGTCCAGTACGAAGTATTCACTGTACTTGGTGTACGGTTGTGTAGACGGCATAAACGAGGACGGTACACGACACAGGTGGTGTAGGCCGGGTACCGGAGTCTTCGGTGTGAGGTGTATGGCATGACCAGCGCGTGGCCACCATAATAAATCAGACTGTAAGCTACGACAATATGTTGAGCGCTGAGACGCAAGAAGTTGAACCAAAATAATATATTAGCGTCTTTGGGCAAGAGGTTTTCGTGTGGCACGTTGATTCGAAGTGCGTTCACTCTTGATGTCGGCCGCTTTACTGATCTGAGCGTATCACACTCTCTCGGTAACAACACAGGTGGAGGTCGAACCCCCCTCCCCAAAATGTCGGATGCTCTCGCTCCATTGTGAAGACCTTGACAAGGTCGACCACCTTGGAGAAGACAACCAAGGCCTCGAAAACACCTCGAT